GACTGTACACATCAGATGGATATCTTAGATCTCCTGAGGTTTGGGACTGCAATCTGTGTCCGGTGGGGTCTTTCTCATTCTCCTCTTCTTCCCCTCCCCTCTTCCGGAGACTGTCTTTTTCTTGACTCTTAAGGCCACATTCCTCCTCCTCCTCCTCCTCTTCTTCTTCCTCCTTCTCAGTACCTTCAACATCATACTGCTGACTGCATAGGAGCCTGTGAGTCCCCGGCCGGTAAGCTTCTTCAGCAAACCCTTGGCAAGCAAGGCCCGCAAGACCCTCCTCCTCTTCTTCTTCCTCCTTCTCAGTACCTTCAACATCATACTGCTGACTGCATAGGAGCCTGTGAGTCCCCGGCCGGTAAGCTTCTTCAGCAAACCCTTGGCAAGCAAGGCCCGCAAGACCCTCTTAAAATTATTATTCCGCTTCTTGAGGTCGTAGCCAGTGGCTGCAATGATCTTCTTGAGAGCTTGCAGAGTTATGCCAGTGCGCTTTTCAGTGGAAGCCACTACCATGAAAATTATCTTGGAGATGCCATGCTTCGGTTGCAGCAGTTTCCAGGGGAGGAAAGAGTTTATGGCTGGTTTAGCCTTCGACTTGGATGCGGGCTTTGCCTTGGAGTAGAGGGGCAGGCTTGAACCCAATGCCTGACGGTCACCAGCCTTCTCTTTCTCTTGTGCTTGCGGGACAAAGAATTCTGAAGAGACTGGATCCAAATTCTCTTCACTGGGACACTTTGCGTTATTGAGTGAAAGAACGACAGGTGTTTCGTGGCTGATAGCCATTTTCTGACAGCGAAGCTGTGAGCTGCTACTTCCTGCCCCTACCCTGAGTTTCAAAAGCTGGGGTCAACCTTGAAATCAAAGGCAAACTGGATGGGTGCTTAGTTACAGCGACTAAGAGTGGGCTTCTTGACGCAAACTGAGCTCCATGGGAGAACAGTACCTTCCCCTGACTCGTACAAGACGAAGCAGGTCCGAAGTTCTCAAGAGTACTCCCTGAGCTTGAACGAGAGCTCCTGTATTTCAGCCCTGACCGCTTGCTTATGGTCCTTGCTTGTCTTGGCCACTCTTCTTTTAGTTGCTGTACCCTCCTAAGCTCGAGGGATTTTGGTCTGATGGTTCTTCTGACAGCCCCTAAGCTGTCTGTCTCACGGTAAGAAAGATGTTGGGTGGGGCTCCTCTGCAAAGCAGTTATGAGCAGGCCTGTCGCTTTGCCACAGGTTGTGAGTGCCCAGGGGGAGGGGCTTGAACTAAAGGTTGCCGTGGGAATGCCTTGGGGGATTATGGAATCACAAAGAACCCTGTGATGTCTCTGTGAATGGGTATTTCCTTGTTTGATTGCCTGGGGCAAAGCATGGTTATAGGCATTTCAGAACTGATTTTAAAAAAACCAGAATCCATACACTTTAGATCTGTTGAGGGTTCATTCACATGTTATGAAGTATACATATCCCTCGTGTTCTTCTTTTGACAGACAAGGTTTGGGGGTTTCTCACGGGGAACTGAACTCCCCGGTGTGAGTGAGCCTGACTTAGATCAAGGGTAGCCAGGATCCTCCTGGGCACTGGTGGGGGATGGGTGGTGGTGTAGGGTTGCCAGATCCAGTTTGAGAAACACCTGGAGATTTGGGGATGGAGCCTGGGGAGGACAGGGACCTCAGAGGGGAGCAATGCCACAGAGTCCGCCCTTCCAGAGCAGCCATTTTCTCCAGGGGAACTGATCTCTGTAGTCTGGAGATGAGCTGTAATTCCGGAGGTCCCCAGGTCCCACCAGGAAGCTGGCATCCCTATAATCAGTTTGGGAATACGGTGCATGGGGACAGAGGTATTCTTCCTAATTTTCTTGACCTGAAATGGCCCTAGGGAAGTTGCTGTTTGACTATTAGCGAAACAGACAGACACACACAATACACATAAATTTGTGAGCAATGGTTTGTTCAGGCCATTTCAATTTGTGAAAACGGCAATGGAGAAGGCTGAAACCCCCTCTACCTGAATTCTGTGGTCCCAATCTGAATTGGGCCCAAGGATGTAACTCCCAGCATTTGTTGTTGTTCAGTCGCACAGTCGAGTCCGACTCTTCGTGACCCCATGGACCAGATCCCGCCAGGCCTTCCTGTCTTCCGCCGTCCTCTGAAGTTGGCTCAATGTCATGTTCGTTCCATTTATGACACTGTCCAACCATCTCATCCTTTGCCGTCCCCGTGTTCTTTGACCTTCAATCTTTGTCTAATCAAAAGTCCACATGGTGGACACAAGGACTTTGTAATGTGTGAATCGCCCCTCACTTAAACCACCGCACCTTTGATGTTTCATCCATCTTGGCAGTGGCTTTGCACCCACCACCATCCATCTTCTGCCATCACGTCAGAGCCAACTTATCACGACCCCCGTAGGGTTTCCAAGACAAGACACAGTCAGAGGTGGTTTGCCATTGCCTGCCTCTGTGTAGCGCCCTTGGTATCTCTAGGTGGTCTCCCATCCAAATACTAACCATGGCCGAGCCTGCTTAGCTTCTGAGCTCTGATGAGATCCGGCTAGCCTGGGCCATCCAGGTCAGAGCCCATCAATTCTACATGCAGTTATAACAGTGGCTCCAGACGACACCCGTAACCACCCACCGTACTCCCATTGTTTACACTGACAATTTTTCCAGAAGCTGATTTGTTGAGACTTTTTTGTCTTGTTGTGTGCAGCTTGTTCAGCACTGGCAGAAGTGCAGTTTGTTCGGCAGGGGTGCCTTTGCACTACAATTCCACCAAATCCTTTGAATTATGTGTGCTTTGACATAGCTCAGGGTGAGGGATCCGGTTCCGGTCTCGCCGAGAGTGGATGCACACAGCTGATGCTGCTCGCCCGCTTTATTCCCTTTAGCCTTCTAGGGGCTTGTTTCCACCTTCCCCTTACTGGCACTCCCCCGGAGGGGAGTCCGAAAAGCAGGAGGCTTGCTCCAATGCCAAGATAGGAAGGCTACCTTCTTAGTATTTGGTGGGCTGCCTTGGTGCGGAAGGCTAATTAGGGACACCCGACGGATGACGATGAGCACAAGACGAAACCAGTGGACCATTTGGAGTCTATTATGATGTTACAGGCACCATTTAGGATGCTAAGTATTACCTGATTCCTAAAACAATATTGAATTGAAGGTGTACTTAAGAT